AGGTGCGCTTGATAGGGAGATAGGAGGTATCGATCCTTTTCGGTCTTGAATAGGTTGTAAAGAGAGGAAATAGGATGTATGTTTTCCGTGATGACGTTGAGTGGATTCCTATAGTAAACAAGTACTCTTCAACAAGATAACAGATAACAGGACTTCCTGAGGTCCTTTCGTTTCGTTTCAATGCTTCCAATGGGTCTAATAGGTGTTGTGATGGTATAGAAGTGACGTCGTATTGTTATCGTTTGTTGCTATTAGTGTTTTGGTTGACAGATCCAGCGGCAGGAGTCAGTAGTTGCTCCCGCCCTTGGGAAACGTTCTCCCTTTGTCCGACTGCTGTCGGCCTTTCTGTGACCCTTGTCAGGGGCGAATGCAGATACACGGCTCTTAGCCTTATTCGCGACTCGATCCTAGAAAGGGTTTGAGTTCGAATCATGACTGAGTCTCTCGTGAATAAGCATTTGAGACAGGGTTCTCAATGACCGCGCTAGTCATACTAGGTTGATGATGAAACATCGCTCTAGATATTTAGCCAGCTGGAAGTACTTCCACGCTACTAGATCCATGCTAGACAAACCTTCCACGCGTTCCGTTTTAGGATCGTGGAGAGACGTAGGATTACTCCACAACCTACTCTATCACACTTTAAGTCTACCGCGGGAACCAGATCTTACGATCCTTGATGATGATCTCTCTCGTTGATTAGTTTTCTAGCTTCTAATCTCTTCATAACTTTCATTCTCTCAAACTCAAAACAACTCGAAAGATCTTTACACTAGCTTTTAGCTAGTGCACAATCAACAGTTGAACCAGGACGAATTCATCGACATCATCTGTCATGGCATTCCTCGTTCCTGGATGTGCAAGATGGACGAACACGACTTCGATCCTTTCACTGCCGAGATGACAGCGCTCATTGGATTCTGTGAGCGCATGGAATCCGCTGAGACTTTGACAAAGGCAGTGATGCCAAGCAAGCTCCTTCGAGAAGAACACAGCAGGAAGATACAAGTCTACTCCCAACAACGACCATTCTTCCAAGAGCGAAAAAAAGTGGTGTGATTACCGAGTCCAGAACTCACACACTGCTGATTGCATGACTCTGAAGAAACTCAAAGCCAAGTCCTCGTCGACAACGATAGCAAGCCAGCTACAACAAGAACAAGACTTGAAACGCAAGTCTGACGAGCCAAAGTCTACACCAAGAAGAACTTTCGGTCCTTATGAAGAAAGTCCAACGCTGGGTCAAGGCGGATCGCAAGAAAAAAAGCGAATGCAACCATGTTGCGCAAACGCAAGTCGGACGCTCTGACAACGAGGATGACTCCTCTGTCGGGGCCTCAACATGATGGACAAGAAAATGGCTGCAGTCGACAAGGCTCTTGCGACTTCGACTTCAATCATTCAGATGGAGAATCTCCGTCTGAGGATTAGGCCAGGATGATGATCAACGGAACCATGTTCCGATTTCTCATAACCAAGTGATGAGATATCTCACTAACTAGTAACAAGAATTGTTTGCAACTGATGAAGTCTACGGCAAATTAGATAATTGCTAGAAACTGCTCAATAGATCTGACGATCTATCCAGCATTGTTAACCTCGTCGGGCCAACCACCTCGTCAACGTCGCAGCAAGAGACCTCAAAACTATCGTCTATGTTAGATTTAACAGACGAGAAAAAAGGAAACAAAAACCCGTTACACTCGTTGCTTACTGGATACAGAGCATCCGGAACCTTGATTACCCAAATTTATGCTAAGAGATTAAGCATGAAGGATCATGGGGGCGTCCAAACACTATGGACTACCCCTTAAGGAATTAAACCCCAGCACGAAGTGTAAGGGGCACTTATGACTCCTGAGTTCCACGATGATAGAATTATCGAATGGAACTCACACGCACCAAGAACTTGGGGGCATTATGACTGATATAGGTCGAGACATTCTCTCCGATCTAAGAAATCAAGTTCATTTCACTACCATGTCAGCGAAGTGGAATAGCACATCTTTCCTATGAAAGATAGCAATACCAACGAAGAAAAGGAACTTCTTCATCCCTGATCCTACAGCTGTCAGCGACAGTGAGATCGTCTCAAGAGGACTTTTGACCGAAATACGAACAACTGACTTAAGGCAGATATGCAGAGCAAAACCAGGTAAATAAGAAGAGCAGGAACCGCTTCATGCCTTATTAAACAAGTGCTCCGACCAATTCGAAGGTACTTTGGAAGGCGATGGACGACTACGAAGTAGAACTTCGTCCTGACGCTAAACCCTATCACGCTAGGCTTATCCTACTCCACGTGCCATACCAACACTCTTAAGACAGAGGTCGACGTCTCTGCGACGCAGGAGCACTTAAGAAGGTAAACCGTTCCGAGTGGACGGCACAACATTTATCATTCCCAAAAAAGAATGGATCTATAAGGTTCATCTCTGACGTCCGGGAACTGAACAAAGGGATTGAGCAAAAACCTTGTCCGACCCAAGGATACAAGACAGGCTACTGAATCTAAACGGATTCAGGAAATACGATACCAGCGAGTACCGATGGGCCATGCAATAGTCCCGACATCTTCCAAAGGAAGATGGGAACACTCATGCACGACTTGGAAAATGTCCGTGCATACAATGATATCAACTATCCTAACTAACGCGATCTAGTGGATCCAGTTGAATAGTTAGATGAAGTTCTCTAAAGGCTTCGAAAAGCCGGACTTAAGATCAATGCTACCAAGTCCTTCTTCGAAAAGAGAACTTGATATTAGGCTTACTGGATTACTTGAGAAGGAATCCAACCCGTAACCAAGAAAATAGATGCGATCCAGAATATCGCTCCTCCTACGAACAGGAAGAAACTTAGTAGATTCATTGGACCAGTGAACTACTGTCGAGACATATGGATCAGACGATCACATGTACATACAACATCGGATCCCAAGAGAAAGGAATCCCTGTCCATTTATTGCTTGACAATGATTGTATCCGTAACCGGATGGTTGAGATTGCCGAGATCTGCTCCAATGCAGCAGACGAAGTAGCCATCGTTCTAGAACAGACGTGGCTCACCCAGTATCCATGGCCTGCTGAGGTTATCATGGATAGAGAACGTGAGTTCCGCGCAGAGTCGAGAAGACTCTCCGGGATGAATGGACTTCTCGCAAGTTCATTACCACACGTGTTCAATCTGTGACGCGATTCACAACGTCCGTTTCGAATAAACTGGAAACACATCAAAGAACGTCGCCAACGACTCATCCAGAAAAACAATGATAAGGAAAACGACGCGTGTCCCTCATCAATACAATGTCAACGATACTGTGAGGTTTCAACAGTATCAGCACCGCAAGTACGGTCAGCCAAAGTACAAAGGTCCTTACAATATGGACCGAGTCAATAACAATGGCACTGTACGGCTCCGACATGCTACCGCCAATGGCGGCACAGTCTACCAGACTGGAACATAAGGTATTTACACCCATACAAGGCCTGATATCCCCTTGTAGGATTGCCATCGTGCGACGCACATGTCTACATCCAATCTCCGGAGAGTGCCCCGCACTTTAAATCATATGTTCTCCTTGTCCGACTGATGTCGTGCCTTCTGTGACCCTTGTCAGGGGGCGAATGATATACACGGCTCTTAGCCTTATTCGCGACTCGATCCTAGATAGGGTTTGAGTTCGACTCATGACGTAGTCCTTCGCGAATAGTCATTGAGACAGGGTTCTCATGACTGCTAGTCATACTAGGTTGTCGATGAAACATCGCTCTAGATATTTAGCCGGCGTGGAAAGCTTCCACGCTACTAGACAGCTACTAGCTGAAGTTTCCACGTGTTCCGGAAATGGACCGTGGAGTACGTAGAGTTATTGCCATAACCTACGATATCACACTTCGAGGCCTCCCGCGGGAGACCAACTTCAATGAGCTTCACAACGATCTCTCTCATGGATTAGTTTTCGTAGCTTTCTAATCTCTCTCATAACTTTCATTCTCTCAAACGCAAAACACTCGAAAGATCTTTACACTAGCTTTTAGCGTAGTGCACAAGGTATCCCCCTTGATTTCATTGAGGACATGCTTGTGACCGAGGCAACTTATCTTTCAAAGGAGCCAAAGGAATACTCTTGTACCTATGGAGTTAATGAGAAAGGTGGAATGAATAAAGAGCAGTTTGGTGAGTACATGCTTAAGAATGTTCTGCCGCTGGTTGCAGATGACTGCAGCGATAAACCTGGGAAGCGAGTGTGTCTTTTGGTCGATGGCGGACCCGGAAGGACAAACACAGAGATGCTTGCACAGCTAAGAGCAAAAGGCTTGTATCTGTTCCCATCGGGGCCACCAAACACAACACACATCCTGCAGGTAAGCACGTCGCTCTGTTTGTTGTTGTATTCACGATGTCGGCTCACATGCATGGTTGATTGTTGCGTCTACTGAAATAGATCATGGACATGCTCTTCGGACGTTTCAAAACTGCCTACTTTAGCAACCTCGAGACACTCTACGAATACCGATTGACCAACCAACATCGAATTGGCAAGTCAAACCTAACAAGACATGATATAGGTCTTCTTGTTTTTGGCAGCGAGCACAGCAGAAAGCGGGTTGAAGTGTTGATGTGGACCCTGCTCCCCTGAACCCTGTCCAGTCCCCCTAACCCTGTTCAGTCCCAGCGCAGCATTCCCACATCAGTCCCACTACTAGGATGAGCGCCAGCCTGCCATGAAGCCCACCTGGCTTTCAGTGGCAGTTTGTAGCTGTAGATCCAGCCAGTCCCATGCCTGCAGGCTCTGCCCCAGGCTGGGACAAGTAGCCAGTTTCCAGCTCATAATTGTTAATAACAAACCTTTAGTAACAACTCTTTCACTGGGCTACTGCCTAGATCAACAGTTATTAACAATCTAACTGAATCTCGACGACCAATCGTCCTCTTCGATAGCAATAGCCACAGCATCAACGCTCCGAGCTACCGTCCACACCCTCAAGCTTTCAACCATGACATCCTTCACTGCCATGGACTACTTCTCACATGAGCTTCTCACTCCAATTCCCTTGGAGGAGAAACCATCTTTCCCCAGCCTCAAAATCATCCACCAAGAACTCAATGCCAATGCCATGGCAGTCCAATCGACGCTTGGTGGAGGCCAATACGGACACCTCTCATTGACCATCTCATCCACAAGATTCAATGCCCTCCCAGATGCAGCCGCATTTGTCATTCCCGTCCATCCTGTAGTCCAACCAGCACACGCAGGTAATGCAACAGCTGCCCAAATTGCTGAAACCAACAGACTCTACAAGGAATCTATCGAACGTTTCCTGATCTACAAGGCAACAGGAACAGCACTCAAGAAGCAACTCCTTCAAGCCATCCCCGATACATTCACTAACACCCTAAAGAACGACCTATTCGGGTACACCAACGTGACTGTCCTCCAGATCCTTGACCACCTTGATACAGCATACGGATCGGTGGACCAAGCCGACCTCAAAGACAACATCAAACGAATGGAAGCCGAATGGAGCCCCAACCAACCAATTGAAGAACTCTTCAACCAGATCAAGGCAGCCCAACAGTTCGCGGCAGACCATGATCCAATCACCGAAAAGACGGCCCTTCGCGCAGCCACTACCAACTTTGAAAACAGCGGAACGTTCACTGAAGCCCTTCGCGAATGGAACAACAAAGCTGAAGCTGACCAAACCTGGACAAACCTGGAAAGCCACTTCAAGAAAGCCGACAAAGCGAGACGCCGCATCCTCACTGCGTCCGAAGTCGGATACGCCAATGCAGCCATCTCGAAAGTCAGCGCCAATGCCAAGACATCAGCCAACGCAGTCCCCATGTGGTATTGTTGGTCACACGGACTAGGACCCAACATGACGCACACGAGCATCAACTGCACCAAACCAGTCACTGGCCACCGCAAGGAAGCCACAGTCGACAATATGATGGGAGGATGCTACATCATCAAGCGCCGCAATGGAGAAAGGGCAATCTATCGCCGCCCTCCGCGCAACCCACGCAATGACGAGAACGCTCCCCCATCGGACCAGACTGCCACCGGCAATCGCTGAAAAGGCCGGGAGCCATTATTGGAAACCAAACAACAATCTAACAAACTAGTAGATAAACCAACTACTATAGTAGAAAAGAAACTTAAAAAACCAACCAATGAAGGTCCCCTGACTCCTAGCCAAATACTGGCATCACCTCTTGTAGCCGACACCGGCAGCACCGGTCACTTCGTCTCCACTGACTTCATCGCCGTCAACAATGAGACCATTATAGACATCCAACCCAATCTCAAACCAATCACAGTTACACTACCGGACAATTCTGTCATCCAATCTACCCACACATGTCACCTAGACATACCGAATCTACCCAAGAGTGCAACACTCGCTAATGCAATACACGGCTCTTAGCCTTATTCGCGACTCGATCCTAGATAGGGTTTGAGTTCGACTCATGACTGAGTCTCTCGTGAATAGTCATTGAGACAGGGTTCTCAATGACCGCTTCTAGTCATACTAGTTGATGATGAAACATCGCTCTAGATATTTAGCCAGCGTGGAGTACTTCCACGCTACATAGAAATGCTAGACGAATCTTCCACGCGTTCCGTTTTTGGATCGTGGAGTGAGTAGGATTACTACCACAACCTACTCTATCACACTTTATAGTCTCCCGCGGGAAGCCAGATCTACGATCCTTTGATGATGATCTCTCTCGTTGATTAGTTTTCATAGCTTTCTAATCTCTCTCATAACTTTCATTCTCTCAAACTCAAAAACACTCGAAAGATCTCTACACTAGCTTTTAGCGTAGTGCATGAGTAAACTTACTTAGCTCAGTCACTTTTTGCTAAAATCGTATGACAGTTTTATTATTCATAAACTATGTAGTGACTAAACATATAAACTTGGAAGCTTTTCAATAATACTCCCTATTAGTCTCATAGATACTCTAGTAGAACGATAAAATCAAGCGGGAACCTTCGAGTGGGGTTACGTACACATTCGTAAAACGCAAAAAAAAAGATGTTCTCATAGCTAGCGATAGCTTGATGAACACCAGGAAACAGGATCTGACAGTTAGTATGGTGAGATCGATGCTGTACCAAGCAACCCGCGATTGGAAATATCACCACTTGTTAGTCCATCACACCATAACCAAGGCACCCCCGTCAGATAATCGATGCGATCTTCTTCGTTGTTCCATGACACGAGAACCAACAGCAAGCCATCAACTAGCCTAAAATACTCCTTTGTCACGCCGAATCTCGCGCAGTCTTCGACGAGCCATGGTTCTACATAGACTAGGAATTGCAAACCGCACAATTCGTGACGAATATGATGACCAAGGAACAGCCATTGAAGATACTCTTTTTGGGTACATCGCCTCCACTACGTATCAAACTACTTGTGGGGATATACCAGCAATCCTCAAGATACTGACGCCCAGGGCTACGATTTAAAAATAACAGCAAAAAACTCAACATCCGACAACAATAATAATAATTGATCATTCGGCATGTCCTCTACTGATAGTGATGATCCTTGGGCCGAATATCGCAATAAAAACAACATTGCGGATCAAGTGGTCTCGGCCATTTCCAAAGATGGCGGAATCAAGGTGACGGCCTGTACAATTCGCAATATGGTGAAATATTTGATGATTCAACACACCATGACCAACACTCCCATTCAAGCCATTGGACGGACCATGACCTGTGCCTTGTTAATGTCCAATGCAATGCAAGACGAACAAACCTTGCAAATCACTCTGAATTGTAAGTACCGTGTATTGTTGTTATCATGGCATGGCATGGCATGGCAGAGAGGGATGTGTTCACGCTAAACGAGAATGAATATTGAACGTGACTAATGTGCCGAGAACTTAGAATGAATATTGAACATGACTATTATGCCGAGAACTTAGAAATGAATATTGAACGTGAATAGTATGCCGAGAACTTAGAATAAAGAACTAGAATTTAGGAATTAAGTATTAGTCAACTTGATTGCGGTTAAGATGTCGACTAATGGAGTCGTATCGCCTGATGGGGATTGGATTGACTGAATTGCTTTCTTTAGATGGATGATTTGTTTTCGAAGTCTATCAAACGAGGATGGGTCACCAGATTCATAGAACTCTGAGTTTGTTTGGATCTCTGCAAAGGTGTAGATACTTTGTGATACGCTGAAGATGTATGGGCCAACTACTTCTCTTAGCTGGTCCACATAACAGCATTCAGATGTTAGGACAAGGCCTCGGAGGATTCGATTGCCTGTGTTGTCAGAGATGATGGTAAATGTTATGTGATTAGAGGGTTTTCTGATGGGAGGTTGAGTAGCCAGTTAGAAGCGGTGAGGCAGTTAGATAAAGCCACACGCACAAATAGTAAGCTCTAGCTAAGAGCTAATGCCCAGTATATAGTGTCACTTCTTTCAAGATACAACATACGCAGTGCTACTTCTTTCAAGATGCTCAGGATTTATTTTTCAACATCTCCACTGGCTTTGAGACTCGCTTGTACACTCCAAACTCACATATAAGAAGTCTCTAAATTCAGTGCAGCCCTGGGCCTTTCTTACCAAGCAGCACCACTTTGGCCCCTCAGATTGTTTCTAACAAAACAAGCCAATTTCAGCATAGAAGACTTTCTTGCTATGCTTCTACATCAAGCAGGGTGGTACTTGAATACACCCAGTGCACCTGGCCCTTTTTGTCCAACTTGCTCAGGACTTGTAAATTGGGTTGGATCAAATAGAGATGGAGATCACTGTCTCTGCCGTGAGGCAGAAAATTTTGCTGATTTAGGCCCAAGCTTGAAGAATTTTCATGGTGTCAGACTAGAGTGGTATTTCTTATGCTTTGACGTCTCAATACTGGGAAGCTTTCTTACAAGTCAGTGATATTTCAGTATCAAGAATTTCTTAACATTTTCTAAAATCTCAGGGCTCGCTTTCTTGTAGTGGAGTTTCTTATATTCGAGTTTGGAGTGTAACTTTCCCAGTGTCCGTCAGATTACACAGCTGGAGGTTCTAGATAAAAATTAAATGTAGAGGAATGGACATGAGCCAAGGTTTAGTCTAATAGCCCACTGCCGCTGTTGGAGTGCACCGTGATGGCCAACAAATTGATTAATCAAAGCAGCCTAGAATATGCACTACTTGACCTGATGTGATCATCACTTCTGCATATCTTTTCTGCTTAGTCAGCTCCAAAAGCCGATCTTTCAACTTCCTTGCTGTTGATTTCCCTCCTCGTGGGTTGACTGCCTGGAGGAGCCCAGAAACTTCTTCAGATCCATCTTCCTTTGAAACAAGATGCTGCTTTGTTTTGAGAAGATCCGTTTCAGTTTTGTGGTGTCCGTTTCTAGCTGACACACCAAAGAGCATGTTTTTTTGGCTGCTTTTGCAACGAACTGGTAGGACCATGCCATGGTGGGCTTTTTTGATGTTCCAGTTGGCGTGAACGGCAGTCAAATCAGCATCACTTTTGATTTTCGTGCCAGCGAATGCCTCCTTGGAACCGGCGACAATGCCATTACAGAGACAGACTTCAAATTCCAGGAGTGTCTTCGCGGCATCCTCATTTTGTTGGGGGAGCAAGTCGGCCAAGCAAACATAGCTCGTTTTAGGGTCCATGTCCTTCATCCAACATTCCGCAAAGAAACGCGCGACAAGCGTGCTCGCAAACATCTTCTCCCATGGAGTTCCACTTGCAGTAGAAGAGGCACTGCCGGTTTGTGCATAGAGCGAACCCATAGTCGGTACAAGATCATCCAAGGAAAACTTGCAATTCTTCCTGACCCACTGTTGGAGTTCCTTAGCTATCGCCTTTTCAATCCAGAGAAGTCGAGGAATTGTATAGTGGGAGTTTTGCATGTCCCCCGCCAGGAAGGCAATAGAGTCCCAGCGGAGATCATCCCACGTCTTGTCCTCGCCAGGAATAGGTTTATGCCCAAGTTCCAAAGGAATAACACATACAGCAGAGATCACGATGGCCTTTGCCAGACACGAGGCACCCCCCAAAAATTTTGAGGCATCTGAGTATTGACTTTTGACAAGCTCCTCCCACATTTCGTTGTTCGTGCCGTTTAGGTAGTCCACATCAGTAGTAAAGGCAAGTGTAAGCATGCGAGGGATCCCTGCAGAAACTGCGTATGCAGTTCGAATTTTGCGCAGGTCCTCTTCGCTAAGAGGCGAAGAAGCGTCCTTTTTCTTGCAATTTAAATATAGCTGTCTCGCCGCATTCTCCGACAATGTAGTTAGGGGCTGCAAGTCGGCGTGGTTCGTCCAGGTTTGAACAGTACTCGGGCGCGGCAAGTCCCTTCGTGCACCAGTTCCGAAAACAACCATGACATGGTGCACCGGAATAGACTTCATGAGCCACTCTAAAATAAGGCATTTCTCACCGCTGTTGGTATGGCTTCGCGGAGCGTCTGGCGACTTACCCATGGCATGACCAAGGACGGTTATAGGTGGAGTAGGTGGAACTCCCGTGGAAACCTCAACGCTTTGGTCTTTTACAGGAGATTTCGCCTTTTCGTTGGGCACGGCGAGGATTTCTGCAGTAAAACGTCACTTCTACGACGAATTGCAACTCAAGCTGAAGAACTAGAAACCAAACGAGACTGTGCTCGTCTCATGGTCTTTGACGCTGCGGATCTTGCCGAGATCCGCGAAGATTTGTCAAGTGGGGCTGTGATCAAACGCGTTGTTCCCGCACTGGTAGCTCTTCATTTGTGCAAAGTCTTTGGCAATACAAAAGTAAACAATGTTGAGTTTTCTTCTCAAGCGACTTTTACGGATCTTTGGCAGCTTGACCAGACGTTGCCCCCATCCTTGCTGGCCAAGCTGGAAGAATTGCGCGATGCAGCTCAGGCCTATGATTGGTGGAAAGAGTGCACAACCCAATTCAACATTAATACTGCCAGTGGGGATGACAATGACCAAAACCCATTATCTTTATCGATACTGCAGAAATCCTCGCCGTGCCCAACGAAAAGGCGAAATCTCCTGTAAAAGACCAAAGCGTTGAGGTTTCCACGGGAGTTCCACCTACTCCACCTATAACCGTCCTTGGTCATGCCATGGGTAAGTCGCCAGACGCTCCGCGAAGCCATACCAACAGCGGTGAGAAATGCCTTATTTTAGAGTGGCTCATGAAGTCTATTCCGGTGCACCATGTCATGGTTGTTTTCGGAACTGGTGCACGAAGGGACTTGCCGCGCCCGAGTACTGTTCAAACCTGGACGAACCACGCCGACTTGCAGCCCCTAACTACATTGTCGGAGAATGCGGCGAGACAGCTATATTTAAATTGCAAGAAAAAGGACGCTTCTTCGCCTCTTAGCGAAGAGGACCTGCGCAAAATTCGAACTGCATACGCAGTTTCTGCAGGGATCCCTCGCATGCTTACACTTGCCTTTACTACTGATGTGGACTACCTAAACGGCACGAACAACGAAATGTGGGAGGAGCTTGTCAAAAGTCAATACTCAGATGCCTCAAAATTTTTGGGGGGTGCCTCGTGTCTGGCAAAGGCCATCGTGATCTCTGCTGTATGTGTTATTCCTTTGGAACTTGGGCATAAACCTATTCCTGGCGAGGACAAGACGTGGGATGATCTCCGCTGGGACTCTATTGCCTTCCTGAGCGGGGGACATGCAAAACTCCCACTATACAATTCCTCGACTTCTCTGGATTGAAAAGGCGATAGCTAAGGAACTCCAACAGTGGGTCAGGAAGAATTGCAAGTTTTCCTTGGATGATCTTGTACCGACTATGGGTTCGCTCTATGCACAAACCGGCAGTGCCTCTTCTACTGCAAGTGGAACTCCATGGGAGAAGATGTTTGCGAGCACGCTTGTCGCGCGTTTCTTTGCGGAATGTTGGATGAAGGACATGGACCCTAAAACGAGCTATGTTTGCTTGGCCGACTTGCTCCCCCAACAAAATGAGGATGCCGCGAAGACACTCCTGGAATTTGAAGTCTGTCTCTGTAATGGCATTGTCGCCGGTTCCAAGGAGGCATTCGCTGGCACGAAAATCAAAAGTGATGCTGATTTGACTGCCGTTCACGCCAACTGGAACATCAAAAAAGCCCACCATGGCATGGTCCTACCAGTTCGTTGCAAAAGCAGCCAAAAAAACATGCTCTTTGGTGTGTCAGCTAGAAACGGACACCACAAAACTGAAACGGATCTTCTCAAAACAAAGCAGCATCTTGTTTCAAAGGAAGATGGATCTGAAGAAGTTTCTGGGCTCCTCCAGGCAGTCAACCCACGAGGAGGGAAATCAACAGCAAGGAAGTTGAAAGATCGGCTTTTGGAGCTGACTAAGCAGAAAAGATATGCAGAAGTGATGATCACATCAGGTCAAGTAGTGCATATTCTAGGCTGCTTTGATTAATCAATTTGTTGGCCATCACGGTGCAACTCCAACAGCGGCAGTGGGCTATTAGACTAAACCTTGGCTCATGTCCATTCCTCTACATTTAATTTTTATCTAGAACCTCCAGCTGTGTAATCTGACGGGCACTGGGAAAGTTACATACAAGCGAGTCTCAAAGCCCCAGTGGAGATGGGGATGAGCGCAAACTTGCCCATGGCTCTGTGTTGAATTTGTTAGAGCGTTTTTTTTAAAATTGTGTTCTCTAAGCCAATCTTTTAACTTTGGCTGTTTTTCTCTATTGGATTTGATTGGATTGCATTGGATTAGATTGGATTGCATTTAATTGAATTACAGTTTACTATATAAATAACAGTACTATTTGGAATCCAATTCAATCCAATTCAATGCAATGCAATCCAATCCAATGCAATCCAATTAAATTTATCTTCTGGTAAAAATACGAATTTCGTCTTTTTAACTGATTTTGGCGAGTCTCACTCCATTACAATACAGGGCTATTGCAAGATTTGCCCATCCCCATGTTGAAAAATAAATCCTGAGCACTGCGTATGTTGTATCTTGAAAGAAGTAGCACTGCGTATGTTGTATCTTGAAAGAAGTGACACTATATACTGGGCATTAGCTCTTAGCTAGAGCTTACTATTTGTGCGTGTGGCTTTATCTAACCGCCTCACCGCTTCTCACTGGCTACTCAACCTCCCATCAGGAAACCCTCTAATCACATAACATTTACCATCATCTCTGACAACACAGGCAATCGAATCCTCCGAGGCCTTGTCCTAACATCTGAATGCTGTTATGTGGACCAGCTAAGAGAAGTAGTTGGCCCATACATCTTCAGCGTATCACAAAGTATCTACACCTTTGCAGAGATCCAAATGAACTCAGAGTTCTATGAATCTGGTGACCCATCCTCGTTTGATAGACTTCGAAAACAAATCATCCATCTAAAGAAAGCAATTCAGTCAATCCAATCCCCATCAGGCGATACGACTCCATTAGTCGACATCTTAACCGCAATCAAGTTGACTAATACTTAATTCCTAAACTCTAGTTCTTTATTCTAAGTTCTCGGCATACTATTCACGTTCAATATTCATTCTAAGTTCTCGGCATAATAGCCACATTCAATATTCATTCTAAGTTCTCGGCACATTAGTCACGTTCAATATTCATTCTCGTTTAGCATGAGCACATCCCTCTCTGCCATGCCATGCCATGATAACAACAATACACGGTAGTTACAATTCAGAGTGATTTGCAAGGTTTGTTCGTCTTGCATTCCATTGGACATTAACAAGGCACAGGTCATGGTCCGTCCGTCCAATGGCTTGAATGGTCATGGTGTGTTGAATCATCAAATCGTTCACCATATTGCGAATTGTACAGGCCGTCACCTTGATTCTGCCATCTTTGGAAATGGCTGAGACCACTTGATCCGCAATGTTGTTTTTATTGCAATATCCGGCCCAAGGATCATCACTATCAGTAGAGGACATGCCAAATGATCGATTATTATTGTTGTTGTCGGATGTTGAGTTTTTTGTTGTTATTTGTAAATCGTAGCCCTGGGCGTCGGTATCTTGGGGATTGCTGGTATATCCCCACAAGTAGTTTCATACGTAGTGGAGGCGATGCGCCCAAAAAGAGTATCTTCAATGCATGGTTGTTCCTTTGCACTACGCTAAAAGCTAGTGTAAAGATCTTTCGAGTGTTTTGAGTTTGAGAGAATGAAAGTTATGAGAGAGATTAGAAAGCTACGAAAACTAATCCATGAGAGAGATCGTTGTGAAGCTCATTGAAGTTGGTCTCCCGCGGGAGGCCTCGAAGTGTGATATCGTAGGTTATGGTAATAACTCTACGTACTCCACGGTCCATTTCCGGAACACGTGGAAACTTCAGCTAGTTGCTGTCTAGTAGCGTGGAAGCTTTCCACGCCGGCTAAATATCTAGAGCGATGTTCCATCGACAACCTCGTATGACTAGCAGTCATGAGAACCCTGTCTCAATGACTATTCGCGAAGGACTACGTCATGAGTCGAACTCAAACCCTATCTAGGATCGAGTCACGAATAAGGCTAAGAGCCGTGTATTGCATTCGCCCCTGACAAGGGTCACAGAAGGCACGACATCAGTCGGACAAGGAGAACATATGATTTAAAGTGCGGGGCACTCTCCGGAGATTAGGTGTAGACATGTGCGTCGCACGATGGCAATCCTACAAGGGGATCAGGCCTTGTATGGGTGTAAATACCTTATGTTCCAAGTCTGGTAGACTGTGCCGCCATTAGCGGTAGCATGTCGGAGCCGTACAGTGCCATTGTCATTGACTCGGTCTATGTTGTAAGGATCTTTGTACTTTGGCTGACCGTACTTGTGGTGCTAATACTGTTGAATCATCACAGTATCGTTGACATTGTATTGATGAGGGACACGCGTCGCGTTTTCCCTATCATTGTTTTTCTGGATAAGTCGTTGGCGACGTTCCTTGATGTATTTCCAGTTTGCTTCGAAACGGACGTTGTGAATCGCATCACGCTTGAACACGAGCTGTGCAGGCGTTGCACGCAAGGTGGTATGAATCGTGGCATTCATTGCGAACTGAACCGCCGTGAGGACTCCATCCCAGGATCCATTCATGAGGTCGTCTTGACACTTGATCTTCTGAACAGCTATTAAGTTATGAATGGTTTGATGAGCACGCTCGACCATCGAGTTGGCTTGAGGGTTACGTGTGGTAATGAACTTGCGACGAAGTCCATATTCATCCTGGAGAGTTTTCTCGACTTCTGCGCGGAACTCTGGAATCGCTGCTGATCACCGGAGGGATATGCGTCGTGATCACTGAGGATGGTAGTCGCATCGGCGGCGGTGTCAAGTTGCGCCGAGAGTCGCTGCTTCATTGGAACAGGGACTTGGACTTGGTGAAACGGAGGGTTCATGTGAGTACGAATGGCATCAGTTCCAGCAGGTGAGGGTTCAGTAGTAGTCGTAGTCACTAGCTGGGGATTTACGGAAGCTGTTTGTGGTGTTGGAGGTGTACGTTGGGTACCTTGATACTGGGGCGACATTGGATCGAACTGAGCCAAGGTCGGGGATCCGAATGCGCTGGGATCAATGGGATGGACTCATCCCAGTAATCAGTGTCAAGCTTCAGGGATAGCTGTGATGCAGCATCGTCTTCACTATTAGTCTTGAATCCGTCATCAATGTCGTCGGCATGCATCTCATGAGAGTATGATTGGTATGCCGATCGGTCAAGTTCATGGTATCGTACTTCATTGCTAAAGGAAACGTTGCGAGACGAAGGTTGAGATAGAACATTGGCAATGTTGCCTGACAGAAGGTTGGGTACAGTAGTTGAGTCTTGTACGACATGTGTAGCAAGATGCAAAAGATCCGTGTCCAAAGATACTTTGTTCTTCTTCTCATCCAAGGTGTGCTGGCTTGTCATCGTGGTCGGGTTCAAAGATGCGGGACTCCTCGATGACATCATGGACGTTGGCTGAGCGTGTGTCCCGCCGGAATCCCAAATTGCGTGAGCCAGATTGATTCGTTTGTGTGTTTCGTTTCGCACGATCGGCTGCGTATTCCAAGATTTTCTTCTTTCCATCATCGGATAGTGTATCCCACGCTTTCTGGTCAGTAGGCACGAGAGACTTCCACGTTGCCACGTTCATCATGACTTTGCGAGGGCCTTGAGAAGGGCGATCAAATGGAGAGTTGTGAGAACGGTCTGATTGATGGACCTCAAGTAGTTCATCGACGGTCGTGTCAAAGTCGTGTACATGAGATTCGTATCTATGGTTCTCATCGTTTTTTTTGAAGATGATTGTATGAGCTTCGTCGTGAGTTTCCTCTGGACCGCGTTGTACCAGAGTGAGCTGCGTCGTAGATGGCTGCTAGCGAGAGCAGGCTTGCGGTGTAATCTTCAAAGGTGTAGGTGTCTGAATTCTTGGCTGCACTACGCGCAAGCATATCCACGCGTCGTGCACCGGATAGGTTGGGTACACCAGAGACAGCTTGCTCAAGGAACTGTACAAGTTGTCCATCGGAGTACTTGTCGTGCACAGAGGTGTCGTTGTAGATTCGACCTTGTTCTTTGAAATTCAGAATGAAGTTCTGTTGACTTCCACTCCACGATCCGTCTGATAAATTGGCAGTCGTCAAATAGGTCGAGTTCTTGTGCACTACGCTAAAAGCTAGTGTAAAGATCTTTCGAGTGTTTTGAGTTTGTGAGAATGAAAGTTATGAGAGGATTAGAAAGCTATGAAAACTAATCAACGAGAGAGATCCACAATCAAAGGATCGTAGATCTGAACTCCCGCGGAAGACTGTAAAGTGTGATAGAGTAGGTTGCGGTAGCAATCCTACTCACTCCACGATCCAAAAACGGAACGCGTGGAAGATTCGTCTAGCATTTATCTAGTAGCGTGGAATCTCTCCACGCCAGCTAAATATCTAGCGCGATGTTTCACCATCGACCTAGTATGACTAGCGCGGTCATTGAGAACCCTGTCTCAAATGACTATTCACGAGAGACTCAGTCATGAGTCGAACTCAAACCCAATCTAGGATCGAGTCGCGAATAAGGCTAAGAGCCGTGTATTGCATTCGCCCCCTGACAAGGGTCACAGAAGGCACGACATCAGTCGGACAAGGAGAACATATGAATTAAAGTGCGGGGCACTCTCCGGAGATTGGTATGTAGCATGTGCGTCGCACGATGCAATCCTACAAGGGGATCAGCCCTTGTATGCGTGTAAATACATTATGTTCCATTCTGGTAGACTTGGCCGCTATTGGCGGTAGCATGTCGGAGACGTACAGCCATGTATGACCCGATCGGTGTAAGGACCTTTGTTCTTTGGCTGACGGTACTTGCGGTGATGATACTGATGAATAATCATAGTATCGTTGACATGTGTGATGAGACAACTTCGCGTTCCCTATCGTTGTTTTTTATAATTGTTGCGTCGTGCCTTGTATTTTCCAGTTTGCTTGAACGGAGTTGTGATCCTATCACTATTGACACGCGGTGAAACTTGCGACGATCATTCTTCCGGAGAGTCTCTCGAAGCTCTCGCGGCGACTCAACGTTCTCGCTGTCCATGGACAACCGCAGCAGGTCATCGGATAACTGGTTAACTCCACTCTGTTTTAGAAACGATCGGTTACTCCTCGTCTTGCTTTCTTGGCAGACTGTAATCCCGAACATCCTTCCGGTTACGGGATCAATATTTGTCAAGCAATGAAGTGTTCATGTGATCGTCTGATTCGTGTATCTGGCTGGTAGTTCATTGGTCCAATGAATTCCATGAGGTTCCTTCCTATTCGTAGGAGGATCGATATCTGGATCGCATCTATGGTCCTTCTAGTTAAGGGTTGATTCCGACTTCTTGAAGTCATTGGAAAAATTCATCTAAATATTCAACGCGATCTACTAGATCGACGTCGTTAGGATGAGGTGATCATCGATGTATGCACGGACATTTTCCTAGTCAACTGCCATGCTGTTTTCATCTTCTCTTGGAAGTTGTCGGTACTATTACATATTCCCATTGGCAACCTCTGTACTCGTGCTTCCCCACGGGCAGTACGATGGTACAGAGTTGCTTCGATTGAGGTGACAGCTCGATTTGGTATTGTCCCGTGTTCATGTCTAGTCTGGTAGCGCACTTTAATCCATCTGGGTTCAAGGTGATGTCCTGTATTTTTGGAATAGGATAAGGCTTACGCTCGATCCTTTTGTTCAGTACCCAGAAATCAGAGATGAATCACACAGATCCATCCTTCTTGAGAATGATAAAAGTTTGTGCCACCCACTCGGAACTGTTTACCTTCTTAAGTACTCCTGCCTCGCAAGCGGTTCAAACTCTGTCTTGAGAGTGTTTGTATGGACCTGTGGAGTATGGTGAGCCCTATTATAATAGGTTTTAGCGTCGTGACGAAGTTTTACTTCGTATTCGTCCATTTGCAACTCTTCCAAAGTACCCTCGACTGGGTCGGAGCACTTTGTTAATAAGGCATAGGCAGTTCTTGTTCTTCCTTATTTAACTGATTCGACTCTGGCACATCTGCCTAAGTCAGTTGGTTCGTATGTTGCATCAAAAATCTTCTTGAGACTGTATTGCAACTGTCGCTGACAGTTGTAGGATCAAGAATGGAGAAGTTCTCTTCTCTATCGGTTTCGCCATCTTTCACAGGGATAAATATGCTGTTCCACTCAATTGACATGGTATGAAATCAAACTTGATTCTTAGCTCGGAGAGAGTGTCTTGACATATGATAATGTCATACGACCCCAAGATCTTGGTGACGTCTAAATTCCCTTGATAATTCTATTATCGTGAAACTCAGGAATCATGAGTGTGCCCTTATACTTCGTGCGGGGTTTCAATTCCTTACAGAAGCAGTCCGTAATGTTTGTCCGCCCCCATGATTCTTCATGAGTAAATCTCTTAGCATGAGTTCGAGTAATTAAAGTTCCGGATGCTCCTGTTACCAGAGCCTTCTGTGGAAACTCGAGTCGTGCCACCGATCGTCTCCTAAATCCTTTTTATCGTCTCCTCTTTAATGGATTTCGTCTCCTAAAAATAGGAGACAAAACGGATCGTCTCTTAATTCTTTCGTCTCCTCTTAATTAAATCGTCTCCTATTTCAACGGATCGTCTCCAATTCTAAACGGATCGTCTCCTAATTATACCATGTAAAACTGTATGGTAATCGTCCTCCTAAATCTTTCGGACGTCTCCTATTTCAAACGATCGTACTCCTAAATGGATATGTCTCCTTATGAATCGTCTCCTAAATACAGGAGACGATTGCTTTCGTCTATTAATCATTTCGATTGTCTCCTATGCCTCGGTGAATCGTCTCTTAAGTATTTTTCCACGAATGACTTTTCCACAGAGGTCCTGTAAGCAATAGTGTAACGGTTTTTGTTTCCCTTCTCTCGTCTGTTAAATTTAACATAGAACATACGTTTTGAGGTCTCTTGTCTTGGCCACGGACGAGGTTGATATGGGCCATGGACGAAGTAACGATGCTGAACAGATCGTGAGAGTCTAGTTGAGTAGTTGCTAGGCAATTATCTAATTTTGCGTAGACTTCATTAGTTGCAAAAAAATCTTGTTTACTATTAGTGAGATATCTTCATCACTTAGGTATGAGAGATCGGAACATGGTTCCGTTGAATTCTCATCCTGCCCACAGAATAATCCCTCAGACGGAGATCTCTGCATCCGAATGATTGAAGTAGAATTCAGCAAGCGCCTTGTCAATCGGCAGCCATTTTCTTGTCCTTCATGTTGATTGATCCAACTGAGGAGTCGTCCTCGTTGCCGGAGTCGTCTGACTTGCCCTTGGCAACATGGTTTCATTCTCTTTTCTTCTGTGATCAGCTTTGACCGCAGCGTTGGAGATTTTCTTCATAAGGACAGAGAGTTCATTCTTGGTGTAGGACTTGACATCGTCAGACTTACGTTACCAAGTCTTGTTCTTGTTATACGCTGGCTTGCTTGTCGATTGCTCTCAGAAATCTAAGCGCACATCTGGATGAACTTGGGACTTTGGACTCTGCTATGCAGTTAGGGCACAAGACGGGCTATTCATGAACGAGAGTGGAGATGAGATGAGCTCGCCTTGTGACTGCAGTGTCTTGTTGCGCTCTTGTCCATCCCATTATGCTCATTAATTATCTGTGTCTGCCCATTGTTTGGCAGAAAGTGGCTCGTTCTCTGAAATGAGATCGGTGCCGATGCGTGTTGTAGCCTGTTCTCTGGTGCTTTGTTTTCTTCCTTCTGAGAGGGGGTAAGTTGCGCTTCACCGTCGCATACCTGCTAAGGGGCCATGGTTGAGGTGTCGTCCCTAAAGCGTCCATCTTACGAATAAGGATGTGTCAACTTGTCGTATACGGGGAGAGGATCCTCATTTGGTTTTCCGGTAAAGAAGATCGTGCAAAATGAATTGGGATCCGATGGTCGCGTGTCTACGTTCTGCCGCGAAGGTGGGTTTGAATCTTCCTCATTCTGCAACCGAAGCTAAACTGTAAATTCCGCTAAAGCAGACTAACTATCGGATCAATCAATGTACGCACAAGATGGCTACCGTACTTCCGGCACGGGAGATAGGGTTATTCAACTGGGTTTGGCGTTTTTGGGGTAGGTTTCTCGCCGAAAGAAGGTGTGACCAAAAGCAAGCATTTTCCATTACTGTCCAAATTTGAAAAATTATGGACAGGTGAAGGTGCCCAACATTTCCTCCACTCCTGGGAGGGCCTTGTGTGGTTGAGGCCGCAGTAGATTCATATCTAGCAGTCCGTGACAGACATTTGTCGGGCCGTCATGATTCGGGTCTTCTTCCGTCTTTTCATGACACTTGTCAGGGTGAGGGTCAAGGCTTCCGATACGGGGCATTTCAATGCACTATGGGATTTGGAGTGTCACAGAAAGC